ATCATGAGCCCAACACAGTGGTCAGTGCACGAAGGTGTACAAGGCCGGCACTTGGCACCGCTTAATGGGCCTGGACTAGAAAGTGCTGCTACTGGAACACCAAAACGTGGTGGTGGAAAATCATAGCTACGATCCGATACAACGCAAAACGGGAGACGCTTAGTGATGTAGGGAACTTTGTGGATAGTCAGTTGGGCCTTGAATGCACCCTCAGAGTTGAGGAGATGGTATCCAGCTGAATCCAGCTCAGGAATCAAAGAGAGCCGCGAAAGAGCAACTACAGACGTGTTGTAGTCACCAAGCCCAAAGCGATCATTTAAGCCACCGTAGGATGAACCAGGAGGGACTAAGTAGGCACCCGGTATGAAGTTGTTGGGTGATAGTGGGGCGTTCCAGTAGCCATCAACTCGGGTACGAATTATCCAGTCATAAGTGAAGTTGTTCTTGTGTTGGTAGGCTTGAATCATCGTCAAGCAGCCCTCAACCAGGTTGAAATATTGCAGCAGACCCTGCCATACAGAACAGTAAAAATATTTGTTGCAATTTTGGGAATTAGAAAAAGCCAGTGTAGCTTATTAACATCAAGCCTAGGGGATATGGCTATAAATGCTTTTTATTTTTTCAACTAAGCATTAGTAGTGGACGCCTTATGTATGTAGAAACTAAACTTGAATTTGCCTCTGCAACTATGAGCTAAGTGCTAATGAACTCTAAGATTCGCCTCTACAACAATGAGCTAAAAGCTAATTAACTCTAAGAAGCAAGGATCTATCATAGTATCTCTCAATGTACAACTAAGCAATGAACCAGTGATCTATCATATAAAATGGTAAGAAAGATGCACAATACTACAATAGCAATTTAAGTCCAACCAGCGCAGGCAGTAGCATTGCCCCGCATTAGGTAAAGATTGAGCTAGAGCAGTACTAATTGCGCTCGAATTAGGTAAAGCTATACTACCATAAATTTAACATGCTCACATGTTAGACTAATAAACACCATATTTACTACAAAACCTACTTTTCAAGTGCACTTAACACTAATATTCAACCATCATTAATCCGACAGCGGACTATTCGATTGCAAAATCTAATGAAATGGTGAACCATTCAATGGTGTTCCTAGTGAATACTTCCATTTTTCAATTAACAGTTCCCCTTCTCAAGTAACTAACACAGGGATTACGATGTCCTCAAATCCTCAACATTTTCTTATTTCTTCCCAACAAACCTTGGATGGTTTCAGGTAGGGGTGGCAAATGGGCGGTTTGGGCTGAATTTGGGCGGGTCAAGATGGGTTAGGTCAATAAATGGGTCATTGCCCAACCCAGCCCAAAGTGTACTTGAGCTAAAATGGACTGGGTCAAGATGGGCTAAACAATGATCATAGCCCAATCCATCCAACTTGACCCATGTTTTAGAACCATGCTCATCTTGCATAAGCAAAGTCTTTTATCTTTTATACACCTATGTATAAAATATAAATAAATACTATTAGTATTTTGAGAATTAAAATATATTTTCTTAAATAACAAATTAGTATTTAAAATGTGTACGTTGAAAAATATTTTGCGGGTGGGGTGGGTAGTGCAGAAAAACTAAAAAATAGAAAATTGAAAATACAATTGTGGGGGTGGGGGGTGGTGCAGAAAAACGAAAAAACAGAAAACCGAAAATTGAAAATACGGAAAAAAAAAAGTAAAAAAGAAAACTTTTTTGCAGGGAGTGGGTGGGGTGAGTGGTGCAGAAAAACGAAAAAACAGAAAACAGAAAATTGAAAATACGAAAAATAAAATAATTTTTTTTTTTTGTGGGGGTGAGGGTGGGTGGTGCAGAAAAATGAAAAAAAAGAAAACAGAAAATTAAAAATACAAAAAAAAAAAGTAAATTTTGCGGGGTAGAGATGGTAACTAAGTAAATATTTAGATAAGTTGGGTTGAAATCCCTTTGTTTTGGGGTGTGTTTCATGGGTTGTAATTGGGCTATAAAAAATAATAGGTTAACTTGGACTCAGCCCAAACAGACCATGAGCTAAAATGTTATAGCCCAACCCATTAATTTTTGGGCGGGGTTTGGGCTCAAATTTACAACCCTAGTTTCAGGCTAGAGCACACAGAATTGGTGAAGCTCAGAAGGTAAACCTATAACAACTTGTACCTGATATCCGAACCAATTTTTGCCTAAATTTTACCTACCTTCAATATTGTACGTCGTCCCTAACATCTCTTCACTTTACAGTATTGAGGTCCGGTCATGGCAGAACTGCAAACTGCTCCTCATCAACGTTTGTTCTATTAGGTGCCAGATTCATCACTTCATGTATACTTATCCGCGACAACTCAATTCCAAACAAGTTAGTCTCAGCTATATAAATTGATGCACTCGCTTTACTTTCTCCAAGTATTATGAAGATTCATCAAAATTAGACTTTTTTCGACCACCGGATACTTACTATCTCCCACCACCACAGCTGCACAAGTACTGGTAAATCTGCATGCCAAGAATTAGGCGGACGAGTACTGACTATGCACTTTCGGCAATCTCCCTCCTCAATCCGAACATAGAACTGTGGAGTTAGATTTCACCAAAGTATACGAAACCAAATACAGAACAAGCGTCGACTACTAACTAACAAGAGCCGCCAGCTACAACTACTATTTAACAACCTTCCAAAATTGGCTTTGGAGTTGCAACAAATACATCATTAATATCTAATACTCCATTTGTTATGATCCTTAAAAACAAAACACTTATGCCAAAAAACATTCTCCAATTGGAATCTTCTTAAACTAAAGCTGGATTACTAATTAAGCTAAACAAACAAACAAAATTCCTTACATAAAAAACAAACGAAAAACAGAGAGTTTTTTTTTTACCTGTATACCATTAGGTGAGTTGCGAGGGCTGAGAACTCGGACCTGATACTCGGTCATGTTAATGGGTTTGGGCCGGAAAAGTTTGACGGCGGAGATTCGCGGAGCAGCTTTTAACAAGGAGAGCTTATAAGCTTTAGAATCGAACGGGCTATGAAGATAAAGATCAGAATTCGGATACTCTTTCAGAATCTTCTGGATAATAGAAGGCCCAGTTAGTTCAAACCTACGTGCCCCACCTACTAAACACACAGCAATTCTAGACCGATCCAACTCCTCCTTTATCACCGGTTTATTCAACAAAACCGGCGAAAACAACGGTTCATCATTTTTAGACCGAGTCTCCGATTGATTCGCAAAAACCGACGGGAGTAAGCTAGACCGGTTCAGCAAGGAGTTAGGAGGAGGAGGGACATTATTGTTGAAAACGGATTTGAAAGGGGCAAAAGTGGAAAAGGGATTGTTGAAGGTGAAAGTGGAAGTGGTTATGGTGGGAATGGAGGAGAGAGAAATGTAAAAGAGGAGAGAGAGAGGAGGGAGAATTAAGAGTAAAAGCTTCCAATCGAGATCTGAAGAAACCCATTTTGAACATTTTTTCAGCAGCAGCTTCATTTCTGGTTCTGGGTTCTCTCTCTTTGTTCGAGATCTTGGATTTCGTTTCTTCTTCTTCTCCCATAAATGAAGGGGAAAAAACCTTTGTTCTACAAAAGCTACTGCTAGTATTCAAACAGACTTGAGCTTTTAAGCCATGCACACTAAATGAAGAAAAGGGTAGTGATAATATTGGATTTTTCAACTACTACTTTAGTACTAAAAAGGGCTGAAATCTGTAAATATGAATGAACGTTATATGACTCTGCTTTTTCTGGGTAAAGGTTCAGAATATAATTGTCAAAGTGTGATGATGAATCTCGATTTGAAAAGAGAAATAGAAAGAAATAAAAGAATATGAATAGGAGTATAAAATTTCACTCGTGTATAATCTGTTTATGTTTTTATTACATTACGAAAATATAAAAATGAGTCGATTGCATGCTATTTCATTTTAAAGTATATATTAAGGGACAGCTCGGTGCAGAAAGTATTATGTATTTATGTACGATTCAGAGAATGGCCGTATCCCAAGTGGCATGATATAGATAATTTATGCTAATACAAATATAGTGATTGATTTCACGATTTGAACATGTGACATATAGTTAATAATAATTTAATTATATGTGTGTGTGAAAGATACATAATTATATAATTTATTTTTTTATAAATATATATATACGAATAAATAAGTAGATAAATTTGAAAAAAAAATAGATGCATCACTTTGTCCCAAAAGATAATGTAGTAGCTTACATTTCAAATTTATATTGCCATGACTCATGAGTTAAACGTTGCAACTACTCATTTGGTTTTCAATAATTGTCATTCTTTCAAAATTTGTGTTCTCCTTTTGTTTCTCCATAATTGACATTCATTACACTTGTCATTTTCTTTTCTTTTTTCTTTTTTCTATTTGTAAAAGCTTTGCTTGTTATGTTAACTATTGTTACAAACGATAAATCTGTATTTTCATATTACCAACATCAATGCCTTAAATTGGAACAATCAAATGAAGATGAAACAAGTGATCTTTTTCTAATTAAAATCAATGTAGTAAAAATTTGACTTACCTCTTCCCTTGTTAATAGTTTTAAAAAAAATACTCAAAAGAGTATGAATGAAATGGGAAATATAATACTGAATGCAGTAGGACAGGGAATAAAGGTTTGAAAAGTGAAAATAATGTAAAGCAGATCGAGCAATTGGCATATATTCTTTCTGACTAATCTGTTCTTAGTCTATTTAAATATTTGCTATTTGTAATCTCAACGCAGACGACATCACTCATGAGTCATGGCTTAAGACTTGTGACAGATGTAATTAGCAAAAATATTTATTGGACCAAACACCATATAATATAGTAAAACTATTGGTGGTTTCTAAATTTTACGTGGGGTAGGCTGCCACGTGTAGCTTGTCAAGTTGGACACCATTTTTTTCAATTATATTTCTATTTCTATTATATAGAAAAGTCATGATTGGTCGACCAAGGATAGAATTGTCATTTTATTTTTCATACACTACCACATAATTCTAGAACTGTCCACACTTTCATCTCCTTTCCTAACTCTCTCACTTTCCCTTCATCTTCTCGGCTTGGAGTTTTACCACAATTTTTTCTTAAATCTTCTTCCACTTTTTTCAGTTCATCCTCCTCTCTTTCAATCTTCTGTTCATTACTTTTTTTTAAGGGATTTCTTCCTATTTTATCAGTTTCTTGCTTGAAGTATCTACATTTATGGGTCTTCTACTTTGGGTATTACAAGGTTCAGGTTAGTGTGTCAGCTATTTTTTTTTTCAATTTTTCTTCTATTTTATTTCATTTTTTTGTCTGCTATTATCCGTTGTTATTGTTGTTATTTATTTTGGATTTTCTCTTCTGTTGTTCTGCATTTTTGTCTTCATATGCAACCTGTATCAATATAATACTTCTGCTTTAATTTGTGGTCTAAACGATTGGTTAAATCTTCAGTTAAATTTGATTTAAGTTTTTTTTTTTCATTTGGTTTTCTTGCTTTTTCTTTTTGCCTCTTCTTGGTAGAAGAACACTTCTAATAGAACTAGGTTTAATATGGGGCATGCGGGTGCTGCTACCTGAAACCTAAGTTAGTTTTAATTGGGTTTTGTTACATTTTTAGGTAACACTTTTTGTGCCACAAGTGTTTGATGAATTTATTGAAAGAAATTACTTCTACATTGAACTTCTAGATTCTCCCTTTTTGAAGCTTGAGTTTTGATAGATTATGGCTATACAGTTTGTGCGTTCAAAAGCAATGTAATCTGTTTGACAGACAACTTTCTATCCTTATGGTCTCTCCATCTCGAGGAGTTAATCACTTAAAATATACATCGCATCTTCTTTCACCGAAATAGGACAATCCATAAGAACTTTATATCTCTGCCACAAAATCCAGTCGTATCTCAAAAAATTGAATATAGCCTATTAGTCTATCTTTCTTTCCTTTTTGTTATAATGGTGGTGATAACAACTTCTCATTTCTCCCGTTTTTTTCTATTTATTTAGATGAACCGACAAAGATAATGTATTTTTCACGTGTTGTGGGAAGACTTTACATTGATTAATAATTATAGAAAGATCACCTACCGCATTGCTTTGTCGTCATTTGGTATTTTCAAATTTAATAACTACCGAAGCAGAACAAAAATTAGAAAATTATTAATTTTGTGTTAAACTTAAAACACATAACCTCTCCAACCATCATAATTCATCTAACTTATTATATAAATGAGTATGATTGTAATCGCTTACTATCATTTCTCCTTTATCTATCTTCTTTTCAATTTCTTACTTTGCAGAGAATGTTCAAGTTTTGTTCTCACTTTGAATTTATCTTATTGAAACAGGTTTGTACTCAAAAGATAGAAATATATTTACTTGCCATGGTCATGGAAGACTCAATGCTCCTCCTCCATCACTCTCAGAAAGGTTATGAATTATCTATATTGGTACACTTTCTTCTCCACGTATTATGTTTATCTTTATGACGGTAATTCTAAATCTCTGCACGTTGTTTGTTGGGCGTGCTTGCTTTTGTGCTTTAATTTAAAGTTAAACTCTTTCTAAATAAAGAAGTATGACATTCTTTTTGGAACTGATTAAAAAGAAATATAACACATAAATTGGGACAGAGAAATTATGTTTTATTTGTGAATTACAACACAATTACTCTATACCACACTGCACTATTTCCATGAGATACTTTTGTTCTATGAGTTTATGCACTAAGATTGAGTACAAACAGAGAAAGGATGGTTTAGCATGATTAATATGGAGTTATTTAATAACTGTTATATGGTATAACTTGTTATTTTCTTTGTTCATAAAACGCATGTTGATGCCAAGGACAAACCAAAAAATTGAGAAAGAAAAATTTATTACCTGGACTGAGTCCGTTTCAAACATCTTGTGCTCTTGCGTATAGAATAACACAAAAGAGTTATTGATGTTACTTGGTTTATCAAGCATTCAAATTCCATGTTGATTAACTTCTAATCGGAAGTGTCAGGATTAAGCATTATTTTGCGATGACTATATCTTGAGGACATTTTTTATTTGATTACATCTTCTATGGTATTTTGTGAAATCTTAATTGTTTTTATTAGTTGATTTTGTTATAGACTGATTATTCATTAAAGATAAGTTTAAGGAAGTCATCCGTTTAAAGAAGTCTGATGACTAAGGTATAAATTGGGTCATGAGCAACACCAACTTGATGAGTAAATAAAATAAGTTTATTGCCAAGCACATAATAATGTTGAGATGATATAAAAAAATGCCATGTCAGTCCATATTTTATTCTTTTAGTAGTGATAGGAATTGTATCAATGAATCTACGTCACAACTGTATATTTTAATGGACTTTTTAGATATTTGCTAATCATGTGATTGGGCTTACTTCTTTCTTTTGTTTGAGGGTAAGTAAAATTGTAGACAATCTTTTCTGGAGATTGTTTGGATTAAATTTTCAGTATATTTATATAGTTGTTAGCATTAGCTTATTAAAAAAATAAGAATTAGCATTTCTTCGATTGTAGTAACGACGTCTTTGCTTTTAAATACATTATTATTATTATTATTCCGTCTTTCCTAAAGGAGCGTGACTAAAGACACTTGNGTATATTTATATAGTTGTTAGCATTAGCTTATTAAAAAAATAAGAATTAGCATTTCTTCGATTGTAGTAACGACGTCTTTGCTTTTAAATACATTATTATTATTATTATTCCATCTTTTCTAAAGGAGCGTGACTAAGACACTTATAGTACTCTAGAGTAATTTAGTTGCACAGATACTTGGCTTGTGTCTATGTTCTCTCTTTCTAGCTTATTTTTGTATCATGATATATTTCAAATTCTTGGTGTGGGACTTGTAGTAGTAAATATTTTCTATTAAGAATATTTAATATCTTATTCTTGTCTCAGAATAGGAGCAAGCTCTCATGAAGAATACAAAGTAGTGGATGTTTTTAGCAAGGTGCAAATACTTGCAATACTCTATATGACTCGTAATTAGACTATGTAATTTCTATTGTTCATAGGTGGTATAGCACTGATAGCAACATAATACGTCTGGTTAATCATGTGGTATAGAATGATAGGTAGGAAATGAACAAGTAGTCATATGCTTGGATTTGATTTTGTAAATGATTTTAAAAGAAAAGCACAACAAAATACAATATTTTGCTCGGTTCTACACATGCCGGGCCCCTGGGGAGGTAAATATGAATTTCTACGTCTCTCACTATTTACTGAGAATGGAACTGTTCTTTTTGTTGGTGATATGGTTATTCTAAATTATTTATTGCTATTTATAATTGCAATCAAGTATAAATATGCGTCCATACACAGTTAAAATTATATCACAACTCAAATTATTAGACTCTCGATCAAAATTATAGACTCAAATTATTGAACTCTTGTATAATTGTTGGGCCCGTGCTATGCACGGGAAATACTCATGCCAAGGGATGGTCGACCACTGCTCTGAAGAGTTGTACAAAAAGCTATGTTAGTTGTACTATGTACTTGGCTTTATCCAATTTCTTCACCTTTTGCCACGTGTATTAGCACTTTCCTTTCTTTTTGGCCACCTATGCTGACGGAGCTATCGAGAATCATCTATGTGCTCTCTGTTTCGAAGACTACTATCCATCATCTTTTAAAATTCCTTTTTTGTCAAAGAAGAATCCAGTTATTTCATCCGCCATGAAATTAAAAAATCTGAAGAGAACTGGAGGAATATTTAGGCAAAAATTGAAAGGAAAGGAGCTTAAATATAAACATTAAAACTGTAACTACGTTTGATGGTATTAAAATGTTCACTCATGGGCAGATGGTAAACTTAATCATATAAATTCATTGAGGACATTTAGAACATAGAGTTAGTTTCTTTTAATATTTTTTTACCTGAAGCACCCTAGAAATGGTTGCACAGAGCTCAAATGAGTGTTCACCAATAGTAGCATCATAGGTGATTTATAGAAGATAAAAATAATGACAAAATAAAAAGAAAAATGTAAAAGTTAAGATTAATTTTAAATATTTTTACTACCATAATTATTTGTATATATTGATACCTAGCTCTGCTTATCATGTTATTTGAGTTAATTTAGTTAGATCATTGGTTCCATACTTGTGATTTTTTTTCTAGATTATGCTTTAAATAAACATGTCAAATCTGCTTAAGACTCTTCCCTGGTTTTATCACTTTTTATCTGTAAAAGATGAAGGAAGTATTAGAAAACTTTTTTTTCCCCTGCTCTCCGCAAAGCTACTTTTTCATCAAATTTTCAGGAGTAGTAGCTGAAGTTTAGTTCTCTGATTTCATTGGTAGTTGTGGATGTAAATATGATTTAATAACAAATTAATGAAATTTTGTTTGGATATCCTTATATATTTTTACTTCCTTCAATCGTTCTTTTTTGTTTGCCTTTATTCTAAAGATAGAAGAGTATAATGGAAGCCCTGTTTGTTATTTGTTAGGATACACTGATAGTTTTGTGTTTTAGTCCTTTTCCTCTTTCAGGAAGAAAATGATGCAAAATTATTACAAGGGATATGTGTTCTTAATTCAATCAAAGTTTCACAAAGAATAGTTTGATCTTCTTCTTCTTTTCTGGATTTGATCTTGTTGCTAATTTTTGAATGAATGTTTATTGTGCTTTGGTTTTTTCAAGGCTCAGGAAAATAATTTTCAACTTTATAACTGGTTAAATGTGAATTTTTTAGGGTTCATGAATAATACTTTTCATTCAGCCTTATAAATAGCGAATTGCTAAAATTGTTAGCCAACACAATTCTCTTCTCCCAAAGCATTATTTGAGTGGGAGGCTGGCATTTTAACATGAGCTACTATTTCATTTATGCATCATCCTAGCTACCGAATAACAAGACTATCTTATGACAATGCATCTTGGGGTGCGGGGTGGGGGAAGTAATAAATGACATAATTATTCGAGCATGTAATTCCTTCTGATATAATACAATATAAAAAGGTTGTATTTTTTTACCCACCAATTAAGGAACTCATGAGATTAGACAGCCTTAAAACTGATCCAGTTTGACTAAGTTAAATGGTATGGTATGCTGTTTGTTGCGCATCATGGAGCTTTAATTTCTTTCCCTACTTCCCAATCATAGGCAAGGAACCTGAAACTTGGAGTTGCAACATAAGTTTTTCTTAGAAAGCTAGAACAACAACTCTAGGCCGTTTCTCTTTTGTTCTAGAGTTCCCTGCTACTGGGATATGCATCTTTTTCTTATTTCTTTTCACAAATTAATGAAGGCTTTGGAAGATTTGATTATACTATGAAACCTTAATTACATGTTAGGCATATCCCAAAATTTTTCTGATCAAACATGGTGAATATTCTAGCATGGATGCATAATCTTTCTTACCTTCAGGAGTCGTCCGAGTTCCCCAGTGCTTATGAGGAAGTGTGTGGTCCAGGTAATATTTGGGTTGAAGCTTGAAATAACACAAATATAATATCAATAAGTGCGAGATGATTTGGTGTTAAAAGGTTATTTTCCTTCCTTCTGCAAGGATAAAAGGTTGTTTTCCTTCCTTTTTGCTCCCATTGTTCGTATCAAAGTTAATAAAGCAGTTTCTTTGTGGTAGCTATTCAAAACAAATTTATTCTTTCATATTTGCTCCAAACTACATAATTGAATTTACAAAATGGCATTTATTCTGTGTATTTGCAGGTAAGAACATATAAATACAAATAGTCTACCTCAAATTGTTGGGCCCGTGCTCCACGGGCATCAAACATCTAGTCTATTATATTGAAGAGCCATAATGGTCGATCAAGGGTATTTCAGTAATTTCATGACTGATTTAAATTACTGATTTAAGTTAAATTTTTATTACTTTGGTAACACACATGTACATAATTCATCTAGAATTCTCTAGAGCTCAGTTCTCCAACTAGCTTTCTTTCACCATTAATTTGTTCAATCATCTGTTGATCTGCCATTGATGGCGAGTTCTAGCAGCAATCTTCTACCATTACTTCATTACTATTGACCTTTCTCTATAATTTTTGCTTATCCTTCGTATCCTCTTTAGGGATTTCCTGTTGCCTTTGATTTGCTTGGTCTTATCCTCTTCTAATCTTTGCTTTGGCATAATAGTATCCCCATGGTTAGCATCTTCCAGAGTTGAAACCAGAGGTGAATAGACGAGGTATAATTTTCTATGGTTCCTTGTAAGGTTAATTTTTTTTCCAGTTTTTCCACTACTTATGCTTAGACTCATACGAAGGGAATTGTCAAGCATTTTGGACTACTTTTCCTCATCAAGGAAATGATATAGAAGCTCGAGATTCGACTCAATGTGCTAGAATTGATGAGGCATTGTGCTCTTGACATAGGTGGTTTAACGAATTAAGAAGCAATCGGATTTCGAATACAACTATGTGTTTCACAATTTGGTATAAAGTTGTGCGCTACTGCTTGCTTAGTATCTGTGCCGATCAAAGCCAATGCTCTTATAGTCCATTTTTTCCCTCACCAAGTTCCGTGTTTTCAGATGTTTCTCTTTTGATTTTTCTTCTAAACTTCCTGTTGAATGAGGTTTGAAGTTGATCCATGATCCGAAATGACAGCTTCTTATTTTTACTTTCTTTATTTTATTATTTTAACTACGAGAAGAATTAACCCAAATAGCCGCTCACCCTAGCACTTAAACTAAAAATAGCCGATGAATGTATAATATATGCATAATTTATGTATTATATATGTATAATTATGTATAATCAATGTATAATCTATGTATATGGCTAGAAAAAGTAAACAATTAATATGGCTAGGTATATGTGTAAAAATCCCAAATATTTTCAGGAGTTGCATAATGTGCTTAATTGGTTGTCAATGTGTAATCAATGCAGAATACGGGATTTTTAAGATCATAGAGGCGATAAATTTGTGATTAGTTCTTGAATATTTATAGTCTAACCGAAAAAGATGGAGGAGAAAGCATTATTCCCATCAACTTGCACCTTTGATGTACTAATATACATTAGCTATATAACCCTCAGGGGTTGGCCTGGTAGAAATTGACTTGAGCCTTGGGGTTTGCTCCCTTTCAAGGTCTCAAGTTCGAAACCCACTGGGTGCAAATAATTTCTGAGGGCCATCGGACTGGGTAAAACCTGAATTAACCGTGGTGCACTTGCGGAAAACTCCTTGCCGAGGGCCTGTGCACCCCCGGAATTAGTCGGGGCTCAAAGAGACTTGGACACCCTGTGCTAAAGGAATAAATTAATTTATGCAATATAATTGATTCCTTTAGCAATATTTGATATTATTGAGTCATTTTTGAATAGATACGAGTGGTTTGGAGGTGAATTCCAAAGGAAAAGCTGTGATTGAGAATTAAGTGGCCTTCGGAACGAGGTAAGTGTTGTGTCTAACCCTGACTTAAAGGAATTAGGAACCTTAGATTACTTGCTAAGTGAAATCCATGTGAGCGGCGTATATGTGAGGTGACAAGTACTTATGCGCCACCAAATTTACCTGTTTTTCTATGTTTCTCTGTTTTTCTTATATTGTCTTTTCCTATGTCAAATTGCTACTTGTTATGCTAGTATTGTGTAATTTATCGTTCTTATCATGTTTACGAATTTTCTAGTGATAATCGAGTTTTTATTTCAAAGTTGAGATTGATATTATAGAACCAAATATTGAAGTAAGGTTTGTACTTGTTATTCTGTCTCCCTGTTGTTATTTATGCATTGCATTATGCTAAGAGAGAGTGTTAATGCACGAAGGTTGATGTCGTTCCATGTTGTGAGTGTTAATGCACGAAGGGTGATGCCGTGCCATGATATGAGAGTTAATGCACGAAGGGCGATGTCGTGCCGTTTCTATTGATTTTATGGTGAGATTGAGAGTAAAAGCACGAAAGATGATGCCGTGCATATTTCCTTACTGTATTCACTATTCCTGTTGATTCATGGTATATTGACTACTCCGGTGATCATTATCTTGTATTTCCCTCAGTATGTTCCCCTCCTGACATTTCCTGTTTAGTTCTTCATTTCTGTTATTTGCATATATACTGTTAAATTGTACAGGTTAAATTGTAGGTGCCTTACCTTAGCTTCGTCACTATTTCGTCGAGGTTAGGCTCGATACTTACCAGTATATGGGGTCGGTTGTACTGATGCTGCACTCTGTACTTTCTGTGCAGATTTTGATACCGGCTCAGGTTGATCGAGATTTTGCTATTCGTCCGTTGTCCGGAGACTCAAGGTAAATCTGTCCGCGTTCACAGACCTTGAAGTCCCCGTCTATCATTTATGTTCTACTGTTTCTTTCATTCAGATAATTATATTTTTTTCATACTATTACTTGTAGTAAATTCTAGAATGCTAGTGAATTGTGATTCCAGATCCAGGTGGTAGTAATTAATACAATTTTATGATATTCCGCACTTATTATATTTTATTATTGTTATTTACTGAATGGAAATAAGAAATTGGTTTAATTATTCTCTAACGTTGGCTTGCCTGGCAAGTGAAATATTAGGCGCCATCACGATCCCGTCGGTAGAAAATTTTGGGTCGTGACATGCAGCTATTAGTTCGATAAGATCACTGGTACTATTTGCATAACAGTTTTTGAAAAAAAAAATCAGTTGCAACATTAGAGTCAATCCACCAGACAATTCCAAACTAATTCAACTTATAAATATATAGATTAACAAGTTCTCTTATTTTGTTTAGCTTGTCAAGTTACAACGTCAAAATAGACTTTTAGGCAAAAAATAAAACCACATATCCTTAATATATCATATAGCAGTTGGAATTTCCATTCAGATGTAGGCCATAAGATGCAAAAGAAGGAAAGAAAAGGGGAAGAATAGTCCTAACTTTTCCTTGTACGGTTAGAGTTCAAAAAGTATGAAATAGAAACAGCTCTGACAATCAATATACCATATTTACAAGTTGCATTTAGAAGTACTGAGTATGCAACAACATTGAGAGATATCATTCAAGCATTTCCGCAAAGAAGGGTACAACTTTTCCAAGTGACCCCGTTATGCACATCCCTTCTGTTAACATTGTATATGCGATGTAATTAAGAGATTGAGTTCTTATGTGTTAGAGAGGGCATAGAAACAAGCAATTGGAAGAAGTCTCTTACTTTTCCTCTTCAGTTATACCCTGTAAGAAGTCCAATGCAGCACATATTACCTTTTATAAAACGAAGTCTCTTGCAGCATACAGTACATTAACTTCAGTATACTTTTAGTGTCAATTACCTTCTCAATTTCTAATTGTGTGTTTTTCACTCTGGTAGTTTCAGGTTCTAACGATACACTATGATTATTTACATTTCTTGAATCACCCAGATCTTTCAACTTTTTATTTTTCATACTTTCTACTCCCAAATTGACCTATAAAGGAAAAATATAATGCAGAAATAGCTTTCAGATAAGTAGATGGTGATGCATTGAAAGTGAAAACATACTTTTAAAACAACCAGGAAATGTAGAATGAAATCTTAATAGCTTTCCTTTCATCATCTGCAACTACCTCTTTAGTGCCACCAGGACATGTGAGTTAAAACTTCTGCAGGTTTTCTTTCATCCTCTGCAAGTATTTCTTTAGTAAAAAATGCTTTTGATTTCGCACCTCCAAGATGGGTGTGATATTTATAAGCTCAATAGCATTTGGGTCCTTGAAATGGAACATTGAAAACCTGAAACAATAGAAATAGGAAACAAAATATTAAAATCATGAAACCAAACTGAAATCTACACTCATGATGTTTTATCAATTTTTCCTCTATATGTATCAAAAAATATATGCTTTTTAAGCTTTTATTATTTGGTTTGCCACAATGAAGTTTTAAACAAAACAATCATATCGTGTGTGTTTGCAAGCTCACAACCTTCTACACAGTCTCTTCATGCTGCTTTTGCCTATAATAGCTAATGTATATTAGTACATCAAAGGTGCAAGTTGATGGGACTAATGCTTTCTCCTCCATCTTTTTCGGTTAGACTATAAAGATTCAAGAACTAATCACAAATTTATCGCCTCTATGATCTTAAAAATCATGTATTCTGCATTGATTACACATTGACAACCAATTAAGCACATTATGCAACTCCTGAAAATATTTGGGATTTTTACACATATACCTAGCCATATTAATTGTTTATTTTTCTAGCCATATACATAGATTATACATTGATTATACACAATTATACATATGTAATACATAAATTATGCATATATTATACATTCACCGGCTATTTTTAGTTTAAGTGCTAGGGTGAGCGGCTATTTGGGTTAATTCTTCTCGTAGTTAAAATAATAAAATAAAGAAAGTAAAAATAAGAAGCTGCCATTTCGGATCATGGATCAACTTCAAACCTCATTCAACAGGAAGTTTAGAAGAAAAATCAAAAGAGAAACATCAGAAAACGCGGAACTTGGTGAGGGAAAAAACGGACTATAAGAGCATTGCTTTTGATCGGCACAGATACTAAGAAAGCAGTAGCGCACAACTTTATACCAAGTTGTGAAACACATAGTTGTATTCGAAATCCGATTGCTTCTTAATTCATTAAACCACCTATGTCAAGAGCACAATGCCTCATCAATTCTAGCACATTGAGTCGAATCTCGAGCTTCTATATCATTTCCTTGATGAGGAAAAGTAGTCCAAAATGCTTGACAATTACCTTCGTATGAGTCTAAGCATAAGTAGTGGAAAAACTGAAAAAAAATTAAACTTACAAGGAACCATAGAAAATTATACCTCGTCTATTCACCTCTGGTTTCAACTCTGGAAGAT